CAACCCAGTGCCCATCAACCAAGGAATCAATAAAAAGATGAGGTATTTTTATACAATGGAGTACTCCGCAGCCAGAAAGAATGGTAAATTTAAGACATTTCTAGGTAATTGGATGCACCCTGAGACCACATTCCTTTAAGTGAAATAAATTGAGCACACATGTATAAATATCACATTTATATATCATGGTGTGACAAACTGAAAGAGTAAATAAAGACCAAAATATACAATAGATATTGTAAAACAGGAAGAAACTGTTCACAAAAAAAAAAAAGAAAGTAGGGAAGGGGAAGGGTAAAAAGGAAGGAAGGGAAAAGAAAAATGATGTAAGAAAGATAAAATGGAAACAAAGCTTTGTAAATAAATGGGGAGGGATTGAAGGGAAGGGAGAGGAATGGTGAAAAAACAAGCATCAAGATACATCATATATAAGTACAAATTTCCTATGAAAATATGATCATTATGTATATCTAAACTGTACTAATAAACTTAATTTTAAAACGTGTTCTTTTTCAAAGTAAAGTCTAAACTGTCACTGATAAACTGTTTCCACAGATGCCCTAAAAGCTAGGTGATTAATCATGGTAAAATCAATCCAAAACCATGCCCATCTAATTATCTTTCAGATTAATTCCATTTCTTATAAAGATTTAAAAATGAATGCTATACACTTAGTAATAAAAGCTTTTTGTGAATCACTACATTTTTCCACTTCTAAAGTGCTATCAAATTCACATAATCTTCCTATGTTGGAACCATGGGCTTGCTGAGGCTTGACTTGAACATCTATGTTAGTAATTCATGGGAAGCCAGGCATGATGACACTCACCTGTAATCCCAGCACTGGGGAGGCTGAGGCAGGAGGACCATGGTGAGTTTGAGGCCAGCCTGGGCTATATAGTGAGTTCAAGTCCACCCTGAACTACACATTAAGACTGTCTCAAAACAACAACAAAAAACCAATTCATAGGAAAAGTTATTATGGCATTAGTTATATTTTTAAAATAAATGTTAGTTAATAAATTACCAAGGACTTTACCTCACCTCACTTTCATATTTCTTTTCTCATTAAGACCAAAAATATGCATTTATGTTTTATGATATATTTTAATAACTGCATCTATTTGTTGGTAAAGGGCTTCTTTTATGAACCATAGCATCAACATCTACTTGTATAATGATGATAATGTCAAGTGGATAGTTTTGCTGGAATCTGCCTGCCTGACTTTAACTCTAGGCTCTTTCTGTTGCTTTCTAGCTGCTCAACCTTGAGCAACTTACCTCTCTGAGTTGTTTTCCATTTGTAAAATGGTTATAATAATTAAAACTACTACCTCATACAGAAGAAAGGAGCAAATATGACCATATCTATTCATTTCTCAGTACAGTGCCTAATAATATAAACTATTTTATATACTTTGTAAACATTCTATTATCCAAATGCCTACTCAACAGAGACATTCCTGTAAGAATATGCTTAATCAATGCACAAAGTGACCTGAAATTATAAACTGTTAGCAGCATAAACACAAAACTACTGAACTGGCAAAGATCTCAAAGATCACCAAAAGCAAATCTCATTATTTAAGAGAGTAGGCTACGGCAAGATAAGAATGGGAAGGGAGTTGTCCCAAGTCACACTCCTAACAGGGGGAAGAATCAACAGAAGAATGAAGGCTTTTCCATATGTTTTATAGAATATACAATGCCTTCTGCTGATCAGTTCTGGGGTTATGTTTTTGTCACCTTTGTACTTTAACATCACTATGCTAATCAGCTTTCCCTAGACATACCTCTTAAGCTGAGCATGGTGATATGCTATGAAATTTTCAATTTTACCTGAGCAACTGTATTTGTAATATTATTGGTTGACAATAGTTTTGTCACACCTCATGTGCGAGCTCCCATGTTTTCTACCTTAGACCCCACTTCATCTCATGGTTTTGCTCTACAAAAAGCCCTAGAAGAGACAGGTTATACTCAGCTCTTTTCTGTCCTTCTCTCAGACAGAAGCTTTCTTTCCCCCAATAAATATATTCTGCTCTTAACCTCCATGGTTCCGAAAATTCATTCTGTAATGGATCAACTCACATTTTAGATTATAAATATAAATCTTGTGTTTTCTGTTGTATAAAAATGTATACTCACCAATGTTTTAAGTTGTTTAGTAACTAGAAATTGGCTGTTTCTTGCTATTTGCTAAGATAAAATTCCTGTAACCTTCACCAATTCCTGTAACCCTCACCAATTCCTGTTAACAAAATTAGCTTACGTAACTTTTTTTTTTTTTTTTTGGCAGAACCGGGGATTGAACTCAGGCCCTTGCTTTTGCCACGGAAGCGCTTATTCCACTGAGCCATCTCCCCAAGCCCCAAAGTTAGCTTACAAAGATGACTTCAAAAGGAAATTAAGGGGGCTGGGGAGATGGCTCAGTAGGATAAGCGCTTCACTGGCAAAGGCAAGGATCTGAGTTCAATCCCCGGTTCTGCCAAAAAAAAAAGGAAATTAAATGGACTTTAACTTCTTGTAACCTTGGGCTATGCAAGGCTGCCTACAGGTATTCAGGTGCAAGATAACCAAAAACTAAAGGAAAGCCCCAAGAAATGTAGTTTGAGTAGTGGTTACACTGACCCTGAAAGTATTGTTTTGTGTCAGACAATGAATGTGTTTACCAAACGGAATGGGGTTCCATGTTTGAAAATCTCCCTGCTTGGGCTAGCTGCCTTTCAGTCTTCTCCTGTGTGAGAGCTGACCGGGGGCCCTGAGCTCAGTAATAAATGGTTTTCCAAATCCCAATCTGGCTGATCTGGTTCCTATTCTGAGCAACCCATAACACATTCTTCAGTTTTAGAGAACACGAACTCATCCCAGGTATCTTTCAGGTAGGGAGTTCATTCCCCTATATCAGATCAAGTCCTATAGTAAGGAGACATGAAATTTAAGTAAGCATATTTAGAACAAATTACAGTTATAAAAGAGGAACTGAAAAGCAGCTGCAGTGTCCACTGTCATGCGTTCTACTTCCTTGGAAAAAACCACAGGAGAAATAGCAAAATCAGAAAATGCTGATTAATTTTTCCTATTCTCAATCTTAAATTTAATTCAGTTTTCCTACTTACTGTGAAGAAAAACATACATTATATAACCTTCTTTCATAAGTCTTTTATCATCAAATTAGCTGTTGTCTATGTCTAGTGGCACAGTCCCCTGACTAGACTTTATAATGCAGTACTTTATACCTCAGAATATTGATGTGTCTGCTCAGGAAAACAATAGTTCACTCACCAAAAAGTTATCTTGGATCTAGAATCTGAAAAAAGATACAGAAATGTTTATAGAGACTTGAGTGAAATAGGGAAGAAAGAAACCAAAGCACAGCTTAACTCTTAAATAAGAGCAATTTAAAGAATTCAGACTGGAACTAAATGGATGCAGGCCATTTATCATGGGAGTAAAGGTGGAACAAAATAGTGAAAAGAAGATACAAAGTGGGTAATACAGAGCTATTCAGTGAATGTCAAAGATTCTACTTAAGACCAAAAGAAAGCAAAGCACAGAGGTACATGCCTAAGATCCCAGCATCTGGAAGGCTGACGCAGTAAGATCAAAGATTGCAGCCAGGCTGGAACACATAGTGAGGCCCTGTCCAAAGAGAAAGGGGGAGGAGAAAGAAAAGGAATGAGGGAAGGGAGGGAAAGAGAGAGGGAGAATGAATTAGGGAGAATAAATGAATCCTTCTATAGTCATTCATATGTTGAATTCTCTAACAGGTCTGGAAACAGCCTAAGGGCAGGCACCACAGCTTAAACATCTTTGTAACCTCTTTACATGTATAATGAGGAGCATATGATGATGTGGTCACAATTTTTTAGTGCATTCTTCAGTATGCACAAAATCTGTAATGCTTAAATTTTCAAAGAAGGCTCTTCAAAGACCAGAACTTGGCAGCTAATAAATTTGGAGTCAAGGTATCCAAACATAATTTAAGAGAAAATGTAGTCAAGATGTCCACAGACACAACGTAAGTGAAAACATTCATTACTAAAAGAAATAAAAGTTTTGCCTGTCTTTGAAGACTTCTACCCACAGCATGTGTGTGTGTATGTGTGTGTGTGTATTATATATATATAATTTGAGGCCAAAGGCTAATGACTGTAGTCTTTCACACTGGTTTTAAGCTTTAAGACTTAGAAAGTACAATTTCACAGCTCTCAATCATTCAACAGGTACTTTCTGCGCAATCAATATATGCCAGGTATCACGCTGAGTGCTAAATAAGCAGTTCCTTCCCGTCAGGGTTTACAATCTACTAGCTTCAATGTGCAAAGATGGTAGTGGGAATAAGTTAGAGACAGCAATTTATTCTGTTGGGGGCTGTGGGGAAAAAGGAAAAGTACCATAAAAGATGGCATCCTTAAGTTTTTAATGATACTGAGGTTAACTCACCCGGTACTGATTCTAAAATGTCACCGTTTTGTCTTTTTTCTGTGTCTCTGTCTCTATCTCTGTCTCCTTCTCTGTCTTTCTCTTTTTTTAGACAGAGTCTTGCTATGCAATTCATGCTGGCCTTACGCTCACTTTGCAGCCCAGGCTGGTCTCGAACAAGCCACGATCCTCCTGCCTCAGCCTCCCACGTGCTAGGGTTACAGGCGTGCACCACCACGCCTGCCCAGTGTTACCGTTTTCTCCACAGAGAAGAGAAAGTCTCATGCTGGCCTCGGATGACTCCCATAAATACTGAAGCAGGAAGTCTCCTCAGCAACCTAAAAGTGTGACTCAGAAAGCAAAGGGCAGAACACTGAGGGTCACGAGGGATGCTGGCCCTGGACCCCGATCCACAGACTCTGCCCAGTGGTGAACTCTACTCATGGGAAGTCCAAGCCCCGGCATTGGAGGCTAGGACCTAGACCCGGAAGTTCAGGTGACGCCTGAGAGCGATCCCCTACAACCATCCTCCGGCCTCAGCCGTGGACTCTGGCCCACGCTTCTCAGTCACTCACCCGCCGCTAGGCGAGAGGAAGTCAGTGTCGTCCTCGTCCCCGGCACCGAACATAACGCTGGCTCTTCCCCGGGGTGCTGAGGAGACCGGATGTTCCCAGCGCCTGTCACCGAAGAAGTCGTAAAACGCCGCGGGGCGGCGTGCTGCTTTCCGGCCGGGCAAACTCTCTCACCCTTGCTCCGCCCGGAGGAGACTGGACTCTGGAGAAGGTGGAGCGAAGGCAAATGAGAGGTCGAGCGCCTCGTGGCGTCAGGCCCCTCCAAGCCGAGGAAGGGGCGGATTTCCGAGGATCCGTGCGTGGATTGGTCGGCGAGCCTCGGGGGCGGGTCGTGGCGGGGGCGGGAACCCGCGGCCTCTGTCTGTGGCAGTGGTGGACACGTCGCGCCGGACAGAAGTGACGGGGGCCTCTGAGAAGTCCCGAGAGGGTGGCGGATTCAGGTTCTGAGAGGGAGGAGTCTGTGGCTGAGCGCGACCCAGGAAGGTAAGGCCTCCCGCCGCCCTGACAGCGCGAGAACGGGCCGACTTTTCCCCTCCGAGACAAGGACCCTCCGCCGCCTCTCTCCACCGGGCGGAAGGAGAACAGCCCGGGACTAGAAGTCTGGGGGCCCGAGCCTTGGCCTGGCCCATAGGGCCACAGCGCTGGGTGACCTTAGGCAGGGTGACGGACTCCCCAGCCTGCCCGAGTGTGCAGCGGCCGTGTGCCCGGTGCCTCCAGGTGTCGCCTTGGCGAGGAGCTTTTAAACTTCAGAGATCCTGGAATCCAATCTCGGTCTCCTACTAATCCCAGAATTTGCAGATAAGGCAGGGAAGGAACTAAGCACTTGGGTGACAGAGAAAAAGGGCAGGCTGGGGATAGATTCCTGGTCCTTTGATTCAGGGTTTAGCTAACTGGTGAGGTATGAAAACCTTCGTAGCCCTCAGCGCCGTGTTCTTCTAGAGTGGTTATTGCTAGAGTGACGAACATTTTGAGCTAAGACCCCTATCTGGAATCCACGCAGGTGAGATGCCGAAGTATTTTGGAGGTGAGTGATGGAAAGGAGGAAAGTTTGGAGGTAAAAAAAATTCCCAAATCCCCAGCGTAGCTTGGGCCTGGGTTTTGCTGAGCTTTCCTGCTCAGGTCTTAAGTCAACATCACTTGTGATCGACTTCTTTGCCTCCAGTTTCTACCGTATTTACATTTTACATAACTATTTCCTTAATCCGGTGTCATTCGTGGAACAATCTTGTATGAGGTCGGCTTAGCCAAGCTGCAGATAAGCAGAGTGTCGTGGTGTAGGGTCCATTTCCACAGATCTCGCTGGAGGACTTTCACCCAGGGGTTCCCCTCTCAGTCAGGCTGGTACTACAGGTGCCTCTTACCTGCATGTTTTAATCCATCAGCATGATAATGAAGTGACTGGTAGCTTCCTTGTAGGGGACTCTGCACCTCTTGGTACCTCCCTTGTTGAGGTTTTTATTATGGTTTGTATTCTACTGAATTGTAAGCCTTCTGACCAATAATGGGTTCTCATAAATTCTTTATTAGATTGAATAATAGAATTTATTCTTGTTCCCTTATTCCTTAATTAACTCTTCCAGATTTTTTTTTTTTTCCCGTGTGACCCAAAGAGCCCTGCAATGGCTTTGCCTTTTATAGGTAGCTTCCAGAAAGATAAAAATGCTGTACTGGCTGTGAACTATCTGGGTAGCATGGTTTCTTTGTTAATTGAAGGTGACTGTACTATTGTCTAAAATTCTAGGGGAGGGAGTAGAGAGGAATAGGATAGCTAGAAATATTTTATGTAGCTATCATTTTTGTAATTAAATTCTCTGTTTAACTGAGGATAGGCCTGCTTCCTGTTTATTTTACAGATTAAGATAGGAAAAGCTGACATTGTTAAAATAATAATGCACTAGAACTAGAACCTGTTGCTGTAGCTCTGTTAAAATGTGAACTTCACTGCTTCTCAGCAGGGGAAAAAATGAACTTAATACATAGCCTTCCTAATCCTTCTTCCCAGTATTTGTCACTCTAGCACAGAAACATTTTCATGGTGCCTTTTAAAAATGCCAAGGAAACATTTGAGCTCCTACACTGTTGTTTTGTTTTCTTTTGTTTTGTCTTTTTGAGACAGGGTCTGGTTATGCAGCTCAGGCTGGCCTTGAGCTCACTTTGTAGCGCAGGCTGATCTCAAACTCAAAAAGATCCTCCTGCCTCAGCCTCCCCAGTGCTGGGGTTACAGATGTGTGCAACCACATCTAATTTATCTTGAATTTTTTTTTTTTTTTTTTTTTTTTTTTGTGGAACCATGGATTGAACTCAGGCCCTTGCGCTTGCCAGGGAAGCACTTATTCCACTGAGCCATCTCCCCAGCCCCTATCTTGCATTCTTGAGTGGAGATATTTTTTCCTCCACGGTGTTTAAGTAACTTATTTTACATATTCAGAAATCCTAAAATTGGCCTTTTTGGTGATTAAAGCCACATGCATATTCAGAGTATTATTGTGGAAACACAACTGCTCTTTAACAGTACCAGGAAGAGAAATGTGGTGGGGAGTCTTCCTCAGTCTTTCAAGTGTGGAACTACAGGTTTGGGTGCACCTGAAAAGCCCCTGCTTTCCTGAATTAGAGTATTTCCAGACTGATAACATTGGACTAGGAATCGGGAAATCAAAATTCCTCTTCTACCCCTTCTTATCCACTCAGTTTTGATCACACTCCCTAAATACTGAATAAAAGAAGTGGATGTTGGGGGCTGGAGAGATGGCTCAGTGGTCTAAAGCACCTACTTGAAACAAGCTTGGCAAAGCACAGGGACCGCGGTTCAATCCCCCAGCACCACATGCC